GGAGGTGTAGAGGGGGGGGGGGGGGGGGGGGGGGGGGGGGGGGGGGGGGGGGGGGGGGGCACCGTAATTCACATTCTTTTACATGGCTTTTGTTTGTGTTAAGCATGTAATTACCCCCCCGCATCACCCCTCCAAACAAGTTTATTCACCTGCCCTAATTGTGTGTTTATCCGCGGGACTGGATGAAGCAGCGGGGGACGAGGAGCCGTGAACGCGCACGGCGCCGTGAACGCACACTCTCCAGTTTAAGTCTGAAAAAGTCCCGAGCTGAAAAACAAACACGTGATCGTTTCATCATTTATTCACTCAATTCTCGGTCAAACTTTATTGTTCTTGGATTTTTTTTTCTTCCCTTAACCTTTTTACGCAGCAGCAGCAGCAGCAGTAAGAGCAGCAGCAGCAGCAGCAACAGCAGCAGTAACAGCAGCAGAGGGAACACCGAACCGACGTCCCCGCTCTTCTTAATTGCCAGTTAACGACTTATATTAATCGTCTGCTCTGTTCCAATAGAGCGCAAATAAACAAAAGTGACGTCGCGTCATGTTCGGGGGGGGGGGGGGGGGGGGGGGAAGAGGGGGGAAAAGGGGGGCGGGTGAGAGAAAGAAACAGAAACAGAGGAAGAAATAAGGAAGCAGGTTCTTCTCCGATTTTCCTCTGCTCCTCCGGTGACCCCAGCTTGGCAGAAGCTGCCCAGAACGGCAGCGCTCCAGCGGAGACTCCTGCTCCTCCTGCTCCTCCTGCTCCTCCGGCTCCGGCCCCCCCAGCCTCTCCCACGCGTGGATCAGCCTGTGGAAACGTGACGGTTCGTTAACATCTTCTGGTTCATTTTCTCTGGACATTAATTTGTCAATAACTTTCTGTGAATTAACGTTTGTTTGTTTTTATTAACGTTGTTTTTAATTTTTTAATTTTATTTTTATAGAAGTGTTCCGGGTTTTTTTAATCGGATGAAAATGTGATCCTTTTTATCTAATTTTTTTTTTTTTTTTTTAATTGTCTCTTTCTCCACATTTGTATCGTTGTGTCTCCAGAACAGCTGCGAACAGAGTCCGGTCCACGCACGGACCAGAATCCACGATCGACCTGGACCCTGACCGCGGTCCGGTTCCTGTTTTCCCCGGATCAGAGGACACACCGTGACCCTGCTCCTGTAAGTACCGACCGATCTGAGCCGGTCCGAACACTTCATGGTTTTGGACCGAACGATTCCGTTAACAGGACGTGGATGAAACAAAACCCAACAGAACAGAACAGAACAGAACAGAACAGAACAGAACAGAACAGAACAGAACAGAACAGAACCCACTGCTGTTAATTCTGTGAATTCTTCATCCGCAGAATTTAATTATTTTATTTAATTCGTTTTGACAATTTCACCATTTTTCTTCACTAAACCGTGCGCGAAGCTTCAGAAGCCGCTGCTCCGCGGAGAAAAAATCCGCCTCGAGTCTGTGACTGTTAACGCAGCACTTTATATTTTTTACATATAAATGAAGCACCAACCGAAAGGTGGTTTAATATTTAACATTTTAACATTTGATCCAAATTAGAGCGGGGGGAAATTTAAATTAATTAATTAGAAATAACAAGATTTTTTGTCCGTGGTTTTAGAGACCGCCGTGACCAGAGAATCAGTTCAAATGAAAAGGTTAAAAAAAAAAAAAAATCATCCTCCTCCCCTTCCTGCTGTTGATGGTTTTATTCTCGTCTCTGGTGAAATAAACACAGGAATAAACGCTGTTGTTTTGACGACTGTTCAGTGACATCAACGGAAACAAACGGGACAGAATCAGACTCTGAACCAGAGCCGCTGCTGCGGCGGCGCCAACTGTTGGAGCAGAACTCGCCCAAAAAGTTTCTTTTCTGAGCCCCGTCTGTGTCCCTCGGTCTCCGGGCTCCCGGGTTCTGGGCTCCGGGCTCCGGTATTGTTTTTGATTGTGTGGTCTCATTAGGGGACTTCCTGGCAGGGCCCGGGCCAGGCTCTGTGTCGGAGCTGTCCAATCAGTGTATTTACACGGGTTGTTAGCGACAGTTAATGAGGGCTCCTCCCCGGGCCGGGGGAGAAAAGGCGCCTCGACGTGAACATTTACCTTGTGTCAACTCGTTACTCCTAATGAGCCTCCTCCTCCTCCTCCTCCTCCTCCTCCTCCTCCAGCAGGAGCAGCCTAAAAAGCCTCCTCACACTCAATGGGACCGTGCGAGTGTGTGTGAGAGGCCGGAAGAGTGGAGCTGCAGCCCCTTCCTCCTGCGACCATGC